GCATGTGCATTCTAGATCGAAATTTTGAATCCTTCTGAGACAAGGGTTTGTATTCTATGGTATTGTAATTGTAATCAAGTCCCTTAGAATAGTCTGCAGCACTGAACTACATAAATGGACAAGAAATCGTTGTCATGTTCCAATGTTCACTACCAAGCGATTTATGCTACTTAGTCAAAAGTGAAAAAGGTCCTTTAGCATATACAGTGCAAAGAAGCAATCTCCTTAGGAGGAGAAACACTCGTCAATCAGTTCAGTAAGATTTGTGAACGTCTGTATTTCTATGAAAAGATATGTCACAACCAAATTACCGCAGGAAGATTCAACGATTTCATACGATTTCGATAGAGTTCAAATAATCACATTCAATAGTCGATTATTAACAAACGTTTATGCACTACAGGGAAGAACATATATGACTATTTCGAATTCGGAAAACAAATAAAGCGTACCAAAATAATCGGAAAAGATTTTTTGATGATCTTTACATGACATATTTCTTTTGCAATGCTTCAATCATTGTTTTACTCTAACATATACATGAGTCTCTCACTGTATTGTGTCATGGTGTACATGGACAAGTATACAGAGTTTTCACCTAAGGAATTCTACGAAAATTATATGGATTTGCTAAATCCTGCTTTCTATACCTTTGTTGTTCGTTTAGATTTTGTATCCAGAAACTTTACTTTGTGAAATTCATACTACCTGGTAGTGGAATCCATGACCTGCGTTTAATCCTGTTTGAAAATCGTTGCATGAATGTTCCTACATCACACAGTTGTTTCTGTAGAGACTCAAAAGTAGTAAACGTCTTCCGTTTATATCAAGGTAGAATACTAAGTTTCCCGAAGTTGTATGCAAAAGATGTTAGGAGACAAAAAATGAATATAAACAAACAAATATTCAGTTCCAATAAATTAACTCGAACTTTTCAACCAGCAGATTTACCAGTCATCTGTATGAAAGCAACAAAAAAGGTCATGACTAACTGATGAAGTTGCTGCCTTTAATTACATACGTTACACACTTTTGCTATTGTTGTTCAGAGGTCATCATATTGTAAACATACTATGCTACATACGGTGCAACTGTTTGGACTTAAAGCACATGACAGAACCATAGGAAAATAACTTGATATTTTATATTCGATTATGGGTTCAAAACTGCTTTTTCATGCTCTTATTACGTACCATAGCACCCTCAGCAAAATAGCGATTCAAGGAGCTCACTTAACTTCAACTACAAAAGATGATTCTTAATAGCATCAAAAATTTACTTCGTCAGGTTAACTACCTCAGTTCAGTTCCTCTTTTCGTTGTTCATCGCTGCACTGGTTCATCTTCTGCTTCACCATCACCATTTTGGGTTCCTAGTTGAACGTAGGGCCTCAGTTAAACGTCACCATTACACTCTTTTCTCTAAAGTCTTTTCAACCTGGCTCCACGACTGCCCAGAAGCTTTTACTTCTTCCTCACACCATTTTCTCCATGTCACCCTCACTTCGGACTCCAAACTCGCCGTATCACAAGCGAGTTGCACTCGAGGGCCTGGCCCGGCACCTGATGTCCCTGAATGATCTCAGTGCACGCCCTATCCATCTCCACTTCCTTCTGCATATTTGTTGGGCGATGGGTTCTTGTTTGGTTCGTCGCCAGCCAGAGTTACTCCTTGCTTATTCTTCCTGGCCATCTGATCTTCAGCAAAGAGCATAGGTAGCCGTCGATGCATGTCTGTAGTCTGTTGGAAATGCTTTTCGCAACGCGCCAAGTCTCTCAACCACCACACGGAAGCACAGAATGACGTTGATGTTGAAATTCCGAATCCTGTTCTTTATGCTGAGTGTAATAGATCTCTACACTGATTTCAAATTACTGAAGGCTTGTCTTGCTGTCTTTCCGATCCTGGTTATGACGTCCTCGTCTACACTGCCTGTAGTTGAAACGACGCTGCCTAGGTAGGTGACAGAGACTACTCCCTTTAGGTTTCCACCGATCATGGTGCTTGGTGCCTGTTGTTGTTGGTGGTGGTTGTGTTCCTTGGGTGTCCTCACCACCTCTTTCCTCTCTACGTTCACTTGAAGCAAACCCGATCTTCACTCGCCCACCTCTTCTGTCAACTTGTTGCATTATGTCTGCAGATCTTCGAGTTTGTGTGACATTAGACAAAGTCATGGGCGAAATCCAAAGCCTCTAGGCTCTGTTTGTTGGCGAAACAGCCCATATCCATCTTCTTGCTCCTCACAGTTTCCTGCATGGTGCAGTCCAGTTCACCAAAATCAGGAATATCATGGGTGGTAGTAGACAGCCTTGTTTTACTCCTCTCTTCAATTCAAAGGCATCACCGAGCCTCCCATTATTAATCACTTCAGATGAAGCATCCTCATATAGAATAGAATATAGCTGTTGAATGAGGTTGATAAAGGTTTGTGGTATTCCATAGTGTTGAAGCAATTTCCAAATTACTTGTCGACGCTGTCAAAGGCCTCCTCAAAGTCGATGAAGTTGAGGCAGAGAGTTGATTGCCATTTTATACTCTGTTCTATGATGATGCGTGGAGAATCGTTTCAATTTGATCCGCATATAATTTGTTCTTCCCACAGACAGCCACCCAGCCAGCCAGCCAGCCTGTTCCGGTCATATTTTTGAATCCAACGCATTGTTTAGTCTCTCCAGGGTGATGGTGTTCAATGTTTTGCTTGGGATGGACAGGAGCATGATTCCATGCCAGTTCTTGCAAAGACTTAGGTCGCACTTGATTGGAAGTTTGACAAGGTAACCCTTCTTCCAATCAATGGGCAGGTACCTTCCCTTCCTTCTTTCCTTCCTTCCAAACCTTCTGCAATAGTGGTGTGAGCATGTCCACTGCTGATGTCTCTGCGTCTGTATTCAATGCTTCTGGAGGAACTCCATCTGGTCCTGCTGCTTTCCCGCATTTCAGCAACTCTATGGCGTTCACGACTTCACTTCGACTTTTGTTAGAGGATTTGTGTTCACTTGTAGTTCAGCGGCTGCAGGTGGTATTTCTGGAAGAAGTGCAGGTGGTGGTCGATTCTAGAGCTTTTCGAAGTGGTCAGCATATCGCTTCTTTGGTTTCTCCTCTTTAGTAATTAGATTTCCTTCATCATCTTCCATTGATTTCATCTGTGTTGACGTCTTCCCAGACAGTAACCTGGTTATTTGATACAATATTGTCAGGTCTCTGTCTCTCCTACCAGCCAGCAGCCTGTTCTGTTTCAATTGTCAGTGTGTCGTGGAAGTGTCTTTTGTCGTTCCGTGCACTCTTCTTCACTTCTCTGTCCAGTGTAGTGTTTTATACGTTGTACTCAGTTCCTCTTGTCTTTGTGCATCATTGCACTGGTTTATCTTCTGCCTCACCATCACCATCTTCCTCTCCCTGCTCTACCAGTTTCCATGTGTCCGTCGAGATTCATTCCTTGTCTTATCTTCTTTCTTCTTCCTTCCTAATACGGTTATGCAGGTTTCCTTCCACGTCTCTCTAGAAGAGTTCCAGTGTTCTTCCCCACAGGTTCCTTCAGGGATGTTGCTCAATGTCTCCCATTTTGTCCTGATGACTGGCTGACGTGAAGATGTCCCTTGTAGTTTTTATTCTTCAGTTCAGTTTCTGTTCTGGGTGTTGAATCTGAACTGTGGTCTATCACCAACTTCCTTGAAGGCTTTCAACTTGATTTGGAAGGTAGGTTCCTTGCACTAGACAGTGAGTGGTGCGAACCTACATCTGCTCCTCTTCATGATCTTATGTCCAGTAGGCTGCGTCTCTGCTCTCTTGAAACTGAAATGAAGTCGGTCTGTTCTTTAGTGTGTCCGTCTGGTGAATGGTGAAATCCATGTCTCTTTGTGAATATCTTTGTGTTTGCACACACCATCTTCAACCAAGAAATCATTAAATCCGCAGAAGTCTACAAATAGTTTTCCATTCTCATTCATATCACCAAGTGCCTCTCGACTTGTGATTGGTTCTCTTTCTGTGTTGTCTGCTCACAGTTTGGCATTCATGTGACCCATTAGAATTTTGATGTCGCCAACTGGAGTGGGGTCTTGTTCAGTGTTGATTGCAGTTGTCTGTAGAATTCTCCCTTCTTCTCTTCATCTGAATTATTTGTAGGTGCGTAGCGTAGCATTGTATGATTGTGACTTTCTTTCCTTTTGAGTTGAATCTTGCTGTCTTGGTGCTGGAGGAGATTAGTTCCGACTGCATGAGAGCCTTTGGTGCTCTTTGGGTTATCATGATAGCCACACCCTCACTTTGCTCGTTGTTGTCGTGTGGACACTTTCACTTGCCACGTCTAAATATATATGTTGAATCACTACTTGATCTGTCACAACTGTCAGCGAACAGTGACGTGGAGCTGTGGTTATTAGCTTTAGACATTTGACTCTCAGTCAATGAATTGCGAGTTTGAACATCATATGACCCGACGAGTTATTGGGGGCAGAGGGTATCTTCAACAGTGAGACAAAAATTGTAGCGCATATTTTAATAAATGAACTTGTAAATGCCCGCTGAGTTACGTATCACAATACGTTAAAGCTGTACAAATATTTCGAACATTTTATCACACATTTAGTAAGGGAAATAAAGAGATGTGCATCAAGAATTGCATTTTGAAGGTCAAAATTATTATTTTTTTAAGGAACACATGTTACTTAAGCGTCCCACCTAATCAACTCAGCAGCATTCATCAAGGCAGCCAAAATGATCCCATCGTAAATAATTTCTTGATCGCAAATTCGGTTTCAGTTTATTCATATGTATATCACGCAGTGGCAAGTTAAGGGAAATACTGCCATGAGTAGTTGAATAGATTCTAGCAGAAAAATAGACTATGAGTGTGCTGACCACGGTTGTTAAAAATGTCTTTGATGAATTTGAGCACTCCAGTTCATTAAATGATAACATTGATACTTTATTATGACTCTCAGAGTATTTTTAAAATGAATTATTACGTAAAAAGCAAGGTAAAAAAAGTTATTACTTACAGAGCCCACAATAACAGCGTTTGAATATTTCATAGGTAATACTGCAGCTATCCCGAATGTAAGAGTTTGATGTATTCCTACACAACCTGTATCGAGAAAAAGCATCAAAAATGAAAATATACTAGTAGGGAAAGTTTAGCGAAGGAAGGAAAAAAATCACAGATTGTATGAAACTACTATTATATGGTGCTACAGCTTGGAGTTAATGCTGACTAATACAATTAATAACTCTCACATAAAGTATACCTCAAATATTGATACGTAAAAATACAAATACTAGCTGTATAACTCGTAATTGTTAATAGAACTACTGATGCGCTGACGTTTTTTGCAAACAAACGAAAAAACTTCTTTCTGATTCACAAAAGAAATAAAACAAAGGAATTTTACATGCTCTTAAACATCTTGAGTTGAAGCCCTTGCATGCAACTCATCAATTTGACATTTTTATAAGTATGTTTCTGAAATTACTATTTATTGGCATCCCGAAAAGGACGGAACGCGCGTCCTGGATCTTCTGCTAGCCACAACCAACCAAATTATGTTTCTGAAACATTAAAAGTTTGTAGCTCAGGATGAGCATGAAAACTGTCTGACGTTCTCCAAACCTTGTGGTTTAAAATGATCAGTCCAAAAACAGTAACAGTTCCATTCACTACTTACATTATGTAAAATGAGAAATCTAAATGAGCTGCACCAAAGAAAACAGGTGGCTTACCTGTAACCAAGGCATGTGCATAGTGGTCAACTGTTTATGCTTCACAAAAATAGTGTTTCAGACAGATTTCGTCTTGTCATTTGTGATTTACATAAAAACTAGTTTGAGATGAAACCTGTTTAGCAGTCAAACCTCAAGCTCAGTAATTAATGTCCAGTTGATTACGCAAAGACTGTTGAATCGAAATCTGAACCTTAAACGGTTTACTACGACAGCTCAATGAAGTGAACACCACTAAGCTGTTTGTTCATCATTCAACGATCACTCTATTCCTAATTTCAAACGTGATCACAGGGCATAAATTCACAGCTAACTCAGTAAACATGTCTTAATTTAGTACTCAAAACTGTAATCTTTTAGTGAGTTCCACCAATTCATTTACTGATAAAAAAGGTGGATACATCAAGGTGAAGTTATTTAACTAATCCAAATTGTTTTCATCAAGAAGTGAATGTTTACTTCATGCCAAAAAGATATTTTCATTGTTGTTTACGAGACATCATTCTGTATTAAACCAATACATCTTCTTACACTTCATCTAAAATATTTCAACTTTCATTCTCCTTAAAATTTAAAAACATTTAACGCTTTTCTTTCCACAATGTTTTGTAGTAAGACAATTATCATGCATTGATACATATAAGCCTTAACGTAAAAACTAGTTACGTTGTTAGTGATACGATGTTTTCAACAAAAATAAGATACATGATAGGTATCTTTGAGACGATTCCCCAAATACACACAAGTTAAAAGTTAAACTACATATGGAAAGAAGCAGCTGCATTATCAGATAAAGCGTAGTAACTTAATGTTTCAACCAACCGACAATACGAATAATAATTACAGTAAATTTTGCCACCGATAATGAAGGCTAACAGCAGTTGATTGAAGGTGACATTATGACTCAATGTTCAGCTCACCAAACTAGGGAAGTTACAAAAACTTTATGCAGTGTGTTTTTAATTTCCTGGCTGATCTAGTTACTGCGTTTTTTGGTATTGATACTGGGTGACAATTGAAGGTGAAATGAAAATTTTGACCGTGGTCGAATTTGATCACTGGATCTCCGACCCGATGCTCTAACAACTGAACAACAAGGTTCGACTGCAGACCAGATATTTACTTCACTTCAATCACCAAGGGTATTCCTCAATATCTGCTACTTTGATGAGGTATCGATATGGTCGAGAAACTGAATTCAAGTCCTTCTGTGTGAAAGTCACCAATCACTTTTACAATTCGATCAAACTTATTAACTAATTAAAGGCGAGTAAATAATTTTCACATTAGTAAATCAATTCTGTCGACTAGGTTTTCATTTTATTCACTGCACAAAGTGATTCAAAATGACGGTGTATTCGGTGCTGTATAGCTGGAGACAACCTGTGACATTAAAGCTTGATCGAAAAAGGATTGTCACCACAAACCACTATACCAATTGTCATTTTATGACTTTTCAGTTGGTCTGATTACGTTGTCGTATCCGGTTTTCATTTCAGAATGCAATTTACATTTGATCTACTGAAGAGATACATGACTATAGCTCAATCCACTACAGTACAAGAGAAAAATAATCTCACACAAAGCTTATGACTGTCGAAAAAGAAGTCAATAGCGTCATTCAGACCATTTTTCTAATTATTTTATCTAAGTATTAGTGAAGTGTGAATCCTCTACCAGCCACATTTCATCACCTTATGAGAATTAACAAATTTCTTCTCTACTATTTTATTAACACTTGGTCAAGATGTTCCTAAAAAAGGGATGTTAGCTGAGGTCACCGAATATCCTTCAATTGCTTGACCATTAACAGTTCCGCGAATTCGTTTCATGAATCAAGATATTTCCATTTTCGAAGTTAATATTGATAATGTCACCAAGCCTGATGATTAAATCTCAACAATACGATGTCCAAGCTCGGAGAACACCAAACCAGTGTCAAGAAAATGAAATTAAGTAGAATACAACGGATGCATAATTGGAAAGTATGTGTAAAAACCTCTCAGTTTAAGTTTAAGGCTATGCATTATTGAAACCTGTTAATATCATCTTCCAATAATAAAAAGATTTAATCAAAGTCCAATCTATCTAATAATTAAATATTAACCTAAACACTTGAAATGAGTAAAAATCTCTTAATGTTAATGAACACAAGATACAATTATCACACATTTCTCTTAATACTGTATACAGTTACATGAAGAAGGATATGTGTAAACTTACCAATTTGATCAGATGAATACAAGCATAGATACATAGGTACACCATCTACAATATTTATAATTCCTTATGAAAAAATATGTGAATTCACTACAATATTAATTTACTCATTTACAGCCGATGCAAGTGGAAGATGAAAAACAAAACCATATGCTGATACTTTTTTCTTTGCTTTATCAATCCAAAACCAAACCTTTTCATGTTAAAAACAAAGAAAATAAAACAATTGCTATCCTCATCAATCTTCAAAAAAGAGAGTTATCAAACCAGACTGCTATTTAGTTTAGGATGTCCCAGTGAAAATGCTATTTAGTAGTATATTACTGTTTATCAAAAGTTTTGAACAATTTATCTTAGTGGATTACATATGGTAAAATAAGTTCCGTAAGAAAATTATTCTTCTATTATTTATGTCATTTATATAGTCTAAGGGATCAGTGTAGACAACTTATTTAGAAAACTCGAGAAGAATGTTATTCATAATAACTAGTGGAACTTTATTCATGTCTCACTGTTTCTGTCCCGATATGATAATGAGGAGTAAATTATGCTGGAAATGTTAAGCGGTAAATAGTACGGTGTAGTATATATCATGAATAAACCAAGGTCTAATCACTACTACTTAAAATAAAATAGGTAAAAAAAAGGCAGCATTTAAAGTAGGCTGAAGCAATTAATGACATTTTATAAACGTCATCTAACGCTTAAAACGTAATCTATCTAAAGCGTAAGACATTTTGATCAAGTAACCAAAGTTAGTGGGATGAACTGCTCGACAGACGATTAGAAAATGACCAATGGACATATAAAAATATTTCACAATATTATTATACAGTATTGTTTACATGAAAATTATCTGTAATTATTGGGAAAAAAATGAATATATGAATATCTATAATTTACCTAAGGTTAATTGAACATGAACATATGAAAACCAAAAAAATCCACTTTTTTAGCTAAAACATTAGGTCTGTAAATAAAGAAGTACCACAGTAGATTATTAAAGTTAAATATGGTTAAGACAACTGTGTTGATTTACTATAATTAAAATCACGGTTATTAAGATTTTAATGACGACTATAATCTACCAATCTTCGACTTTATGTTAATCAATCAGTGTTACTTGTCTCCCTTACCTGAATTTTCTAACTGAAAAAACCTGAAATCCTTATTTTTAGCACTGTTTTCGTAGATGATTGTATTTATTTATTACTCATGCACTTATACACAGAAATAACATGACGATAATCCCTTGTAAATTAAAACCCTTAGGGAAAACACAATTAAGACATGCAGTCTAAAGAAGTGAGTGAATTAGTGGCGTGGAGCTGTAGGAAATTGGTTTAGGGAGACGACTTCCGAACAAATAGGCCACAGGTTCAAGCGCCACCCCACTAACCGAGGTTTAGGCATCCACGTAGTTCATAGTGTTCAGTTTAAATTAGACCATCAGTGCTCCAAATAATCCTTTTAGTAATATCTTTCTAGCAGTCGCGAAAGTGAAGTGATAATTTTGTCTGCAATAGCCGTTCAAAGTTAATGAGACACCAAGTATGAAAATATGACCACTTACTAACACTTTCAACATAAAAAGCAATGTTTGGATGGGTCACTTATTCATGATCAACATGATACATTGCACTGCTATGTAACGATTTAAGTTGACACACCGAAAATTACTGCATCATTGTTCAAGGTAACAAAATGAAAGACTAAAAAATGAGACAGTAACATAAACGTCATTAAGGTGAAGATAAAGAATGAATGTGTCTGCACCACTAGAACTGACTCTGAGTTGTATCAACTAGTCTTACAATATCAGTGTTGATTTTTAAGCAGACTGCAACCAGGAGGTCTACACTTGTCTAGATAACTCAGATCAACATATAGAGAGTTTATCAACTGGTGGCCAGTTACAGTCTGGTCAGCCGTAGATACTTTTCAACCTCGGCTTACAGAGAAATGTATAGATCATCACGGTAGATGGTAACAAAGCATAAGCAACAGATCTCGGCCACCTCAGTCAAGAAAGGTATGTAAACTTGTCAAATTACGCAACTCTTTTGATGAGGAAGCTCCCTTACAACACAAATAGCAGGCCGCTTGGATTGGCTGTCTAGCAGAAGAGCAATATAAAAGCAGTTCCGA